GAGAGAGAGAGAGAGAGGCTACAACTACAATGCAACAAACTTATCAAAATGTGTAATGTTCTGTTTGCAATATGAGGACGTGTGCTTATGTGCAAACCCGCAGAACACACGCACTGGATATGAATCAAGACATTCTGACATTATGAACGTGAGAGAAGGTGGTCCAGAACCCCCCCCCCCCTTACAGACGCCGCTCCTGCGCTCAACGCGACCTGCAGATTCATAAAACTTGAAAACCCCGCCTACTTGACAGCCAGCGTCTGTTTACGAAAAGTCACGGGGAGCAGCATGGAGCGAAAGGTACCCAACAGAACATGTCATACCGTGCTGCCAACAGGGGGAACAACCAGACTTCAGACTCACAGAGAGCCAAGTGCGATCCTCACTATGTAGTCTGTCACATTTAGTTTACTGACATGTTTGATGCCTGCTGACATTTGCAGCTTGATGCGCGATTCTAGGAGCTTCTAGTTTAATTCTTTTTGTTTTTTTTTGTTTTTTTTGTGCAGTGGGACTTCTAAACGCGCGTACCGGGGAGTGTTTCTGCTTCTGTATGATCACCCACACCGGCTTAAAAACAATGGCGAGGCGTAAAAGGCGCAATCTGCTTTAAGTGTTGCGCTTAAACCCAGCCTGGACTACCCAGAACCATCTCGGGGGCTTCTGCGATACAACAGGGAACCAACACAGGACAAAAAAGGCACTCGGTGCGACATGGAAAGCCCGATCGAGAACCCAACCAGGGCTGTGGAATATTTGAAGGAGCTTAACAAGATCATCGAGACCCAGCAGGAGTTGCTGGAGAGGCAGAGGGGAAGGATAGAGGAGCTGGAGCAGCAAGTGTCCGACTTGTGCACGGAGAACGCCTGTCTGAAGGAGCAGTACCAGCGGCACCTGGCAACCTGCAGGCTGCTGCAGGGCAGCAACAGCCTGGTCACTCTAGGAGCCATAAAGGAACATATCACACAGGAAAAGTAAGCAATAACAACCTGTGCTATTGTATTATCTAAATTGAATAATCTGTTTAATTATACCTCTCTACATAAGTCTTTAAAGTTTAAAAATGGCACTTTATTAAAGTAGTTATTGCTAAAATCAGACCCTAACTAGTCTACTTTGAGATCATATGCTTTCCTTTTATGTTTGCTGTGAATTATACACAATTACAAAGGATGGTTATTGTTGGACAGAGCTTTTCTGAACGTGTCTGGGAATAGGAGAGAGAGAATATCACCCAGCATCATTGTGAGTGCTGATGAACAAACCTTTTACCCAACAGATTATTTTCCAGTCGAGTTGTTTCGTTTTAATTTTGCCTTTGAGAGTGTATAACTGTAAGAGTGTATGATTAAATATTCAGCAGATCGAGTTCTCTATTCTTCTTCTCAAAAACTCTTTGTCTTTTTAATTGTCTCTGATTATTCTGCTTTGTCATCTCAGTAGACTGAAGTCTAAACTGTGCCTATGCTATAGCCCACAGTGGTCTTAAAAGAGGATTTCATGCGCATGACAGGCACATATAATCCATGATATATGGAATGCAATAGGTTTAACCCCAGGGAAAATGGCACATACTTGGGATGGATCCATTATGCAATCACGTTTAAGGGCTGGCTCTATCTGCAGGCAGTGGGTTAAGCCCCAGGCAGAGCAGAGCAGGTAGGGCAGATGTAGTGGAGAATTATATCAAGAGTGCTGGTAAAGACCTTGACAGTCAGACACGCTGTGAAGATTAGCCCCCCTGTACCAGTTCTGAGTTTGAGTTCACACTCTGTTGGCTATATCTCTAAAATGCCCCAGCGTGCAGACATTTAACTCAGCTATTCACAGTCTGCAGGATCACACTTGACCTTTGTGTCCAGGGTCGTGTTAGTGTCATGCAGATCAGTGACAGCCAGTCGATACTGATGACTCATGGACTGTATGCCTTTGCTAGCTGATAAAACCAGACTCCTGAGATTAGGACATGCTCTAACACTGACCTGTAGTACGCCCCCTTTTATAAATCGCTCTCTGGCACTATATAATGGGTATTCTCTCTGATTTCCCTGGAAAATCGGACTGTCACCATCTCTCATTCTGTATGGTCACAGTGTCTGAACACTATTTCAGTCCAGCTCTGGTAGACTGGCACAGAGGATAGTGAGAAGCCTCTGATTACCCCAGTGAACCTGATGAAATATGACAGCTGTTAATAATGTAATGTGTGGTTTATGGACAATACAGGATTTAAAATGTCATTTAAGTGCGGTGTGGAATTTGAAGAAGGCGGTGGTCTTAAGCAAGACTGATTCTAAGATCAGATTCTGCAAAGGTCATTTTAGAACAGAGAAAACGGGATTTAAATAGCGTGTACTTGGAAATTTAACTGTATAGCCATCCATTTTTTGCCCCTTACTAAGGTCAGGGCCACAGTGGCAACAGCCAACCAGAGCAGCTCAGATGTCTTTTTCTTACCTTTCTTAGCTATACACCAGGTTTTCCTGAGGGATTCCTAGGAATGGGGTCTTCTCCTAATGTGCCTTTGACCGCATACTTCCAAAGGGAGGGCTAAGCAGCTGCTGGAATGCTAAAAGCCATTTGTAGACATCTTCTAGAGCTCTGGTCACTTGTAGTGGACATTTATTATTTTTAGGCATGCTAGCAGCATAGCTCTAGGGAGGACAGTGTCCGTCTGTCTGTTGGCTGGTCAGCTGATCCGCTATCTGCATTAGTCTAGACTTAAAAATCGAAATAAGTATTTGTGTCCAATACATATATTTTTATGACTAAATACTTGCAAAACTAATGACATTTCTATCAGCCTCACCTGTGCTTTGTGTTCAGTTGGCATGCTAACACACTAATCTAAGATGGTGAACATGGTAATCATTACATGTTAGCATGCTTAAATTTGCATTTAGCCCAAAGCACTGCTGTGTACTGTTTGTCTTGTTGATATTCGATAGAGTGAAAAATATTACCACTTTTTAGTCGTGTCAGCTGAAATCACTCCTAGATACAGAGGAGGAGCAGCTCAAGAACAGTACAAGGTCCTTCTGGATTGCAGATAAAGCTTATTTTATCTGCTTGTATCTGCAAGATTATTTTTTTTCCCTTTGTCACTAACTTGTGACAAAAATACTGGTTCATCAAATAAAAAGAGACTCAATACCCCATCTTTAAATAAAAATAAAAGAAAACTCCTTAACATCCCTAACATGACCATTTCCTCTCCTCATACTAAGTGGCGCCATGGAATCAATGTTGACGCTCGCTTTGAATACATAACGAAACTCCTGAAAAACACTCGATGCAAATTTAGAGATCACATGCCTGAATATCAACATCATCTGCAAACAGCAGGCTAATGTTGTTTAAACAGACACACTTCAGACCTTGGCTTTGTCCTGATATCATTCACATTAATGGAGACGACATCCGGCTTTCAGTGACATGACAATCTTGAATTGTCTTTTGTCGTTATGCCAAGAATGTGGACACAGCTCTCTTTGTGCTGTTATGCCTGTCCTTTTTCTCTCTTACCATGGGGGTTGTCATTCTAGCTATGTAATCAGGAACTGACTCACAGCTACTGTGAGGAAGCAGGTAAAAAAGCAGTTACATACAATAACCTGCAATAACTAGCTAGTTCCTGCAGCCCTCGGTTATCTGTGTGTAGACTTCTGCTTGAAAGGAAAAGTTTGACATTTTTAGGAAATATACTTATTCACTTTTTTCAAGGTAGATAAGAAGACGGACGCTACTAATACTACTACCACTACTATCTGTACAAAATCTGCCTACCAATACCTCCAAAACTCAACTAAAAGTCACTAAACTAGTTTGTTTAATCCATACAAAAATCAAAGCGTAAATGTATTTAAGTCCTTATGCTAATAGTGTATTTCTGTAAATCAAACTATTCCTTAAAGGATAGAATATGATGTTTTATCATTGGCATGAGTGCCCCGTTTACTACTTTGGCTTTCCCAGGAAGGCAAATCTTGTAATTCCTTGGTAGTTGGAAAAGATCCTCTTATAATTTTTTTCCCCAAGATTATCACCACCTCAGGAATCCACACCGAACTGAAGAGGCATGTGGCATTTTCCATATACCTATGCTGATTATAGGGACAGGTTATACTTTACTGAGCCCTGTGGAAGGATTTGAGAGCATGTAAGCTCCACAGTGGAAGGAGCCAGTAAGGTTTGAACCCTGGATCATTTTTGCTTTGGCAAGAGCTAACTGCTGAGCTCATGCTGTGTGTTAAACCTTTTATCAGGAGGGAAAATAAACATGGCAGGGGGTGATTGAGAGAGGTCGCAAGTAAGGCCAAATTGTGTTTTTACTTAGCATGTTATGCAGCCTCAAGTGACCCTGCTTTACATCTATGCAAAGTTGTTTTTGCTGTGTTTGTGTGTTTTGCCTATCTAATTTCAGTTTAAATACATAACATGTTCACTCTTGTTCGATGCATGCACGTTGTCATGTAATTTAGTCACATTGCATTTAACTCTCATTAGGGATCGTAATACAGTCCAAACATCGTATCAGTTTGCAGCTTTTATCCCCCTTTGTTTCCCTTTTCTTTTCAGCTTCCGTGTTAGTCAGCTGTATGATGCATTCATCATCATCTTGAGTATCATCTTGAGTACAGTGTGTATTATTTGTTTATACTGTACAAATAGTTGAGCTGAGGTGTCAGTCCTCTGTTGGCTTAAGATATCATCATTAAGTGACTTAATGGGAACAATGAAGGAAGGGAACAAGAAAAGAATAACGTACACCGTGTATATATTCTGCTCCAAAACATGTGACAGATACTGCTACTGAATGATACATAAGATTGTTTGCTGCTATCTTTGGTTTGGCTGTAAATGGAAGGCTTTTCCCTGTATTTTGTTTGTATGGTTTTCCCCTCTACCCTCTTGTAGGAGCAAAATGCAGAGAGCAGGAAATATGATGCACTACTGATAGTGGAACCGGTTGTGCTTATTCAAAAGCTTTGTCTGTGAATTCTGCAGAATAGGCTGCTGGGTAACATTGTCAGTCAGGGTTTCAGGATGTGTGGCTGCTGCACAGGTATTGGAAATCATCTTGGTGAGCACTGACCCTGAAGTGGATCCATAAACGCGTCCACCTAGGTGATTGTAACCCCCATTAGCTGGTTGAGTAGAATCAGCAGCGGAGTTGCCTCTCTCAGTGGATTGGTTTCTGTAAATCCAAAGCTGAAACTCCGGTTTCAGGGTTTATTCACAGTTTCTTGAGTTTAAAATAAACATCTTTGTAAAGAGATGGTTGATGTAGCACTCAAGAATTAACAATCACACACATATCAAGTTTCTTCTGTTCATGGCTCCTGAGTTGCCTGCCTTGTCAGCCCTTTATTCCAACAGTATTTCCGCTGACCCTATGCAGTTTTCTCTCCTAATGGTGTTTGTTTTTAACAGAGCTCTACAGTTACTTGTATCCCTTGTGCTCACTTAGGAATTAAATGACAGGTAATACAAGATTGCAAGTTTTTGCAGCACACATAAGTGATAAATTACTTTTCCTGATCAGTTAAGTCTGGCTGAATGTTTCAGCAGACTTTCAAGCACACACACCTGGTCTGTCTTCTTGTCTGTGAATGTAATACGTTTTAAAGTGAAACAAAAAGTCTGGAAGAGCGGTTGTGATAAATGTTTTTCTTGCATGATGCAGGACAGGCTGCTGGTTTAATCAGAGTGGATCCACCGTGATCTGAACATGTCCTCTGGGGTTTGGAGTGTCCGCAAGTGCTTTCATTTCTTATCTCGGCCCTGCTGGATGCATCTGCCAGCCCAGACTTAGCATTCAAACTTTGTCACAGGCCTGGATAGCCAACCGACTGTAAACAATATTTGGTATGCTGACGTGATCGCTGGAGAGATAACGTCTTCAGCTGCAGATGACAAAGAGCCGATGTGTCATTCTCTGCGCAGCCTAGTTTTAGGCTTACCTAAAATGTAC